GCATGCCACTTGCATTTAAACATGCATGGCTTACATCTTTATCACGTTTTCTGGTTTGTTTCAAAGTACCTGAACATTCGGGAAATATGAGGTATGATTATGTTTTATATTTATGCACAGAGAGCGGTTTTACCATGAACTGGTCCCTAGAAAGGTCTGGCTGTAGGAAGACTTGCTCTGAAGCCTCAGGGCCTCGTACGCCAACCTGCCTGCCTTCCAGACGTCCTGACACCCATCCTGGATGTAGGGAAGGCCAGTCTTTAAGAGGATGAAGGATCACTGCATTCCTTCTCCCAGGGCCCACAGTGTCCTCACGCTGAAGCCGTGCATACTAAACATGTCGTCTTTGTTCTGCGTTGGTCTCACAACTCTTCCCTTTTCTGCTGACTGCAGGAGAAATGGGGTTGGCTGATTCTGATTTTCACAGCCTGTCTGCATTTCAACTCGCTTCCCTCATCAGGGACATTTCCCTGAGAAAGACATGAGAGGATAATTGGCAATCAACATGGAGAGCAGCATCCTGAAGGGAAGCTGGGGATTCAGGGCCAGACACAGGCCACTCGCTCGGCACAGGGCTCCGTCTTCCCCTCACACACTCGAGCCTGTCCATCACCCACTGTCAGGGTGCTTCAGCAAGCTGCAGCCCAGCGCAGTGTGTGGCTTGAAAGGGGGCAAGCCCCAGGAAGTTGTACCATCACACACAGTGTCTGTGGGAGGAATTCACAGGGCATTTGCCTGGCCTTCCCTCAGAGCCAGGGAGCTGCGCACAGGAAGACCGATCAGACACAGGACTGTCATGGTGAGGCCCCACGGACACATCCAAAATCAGTTTGTGGGCGCTGATCGCCAGCCCCTCAACAGGCTGCAGGAGAGTCCAGTGCTCTCCCCTGACAAAAGTAGCCCCTCTGCTGTGACCCCACCTGCATTTGCTCTGCTGGGGCTGTGGCTTTGCCTGGCCTCTGTAATCGCACAGCACGGTGGAGCAGTTGTCACCAGGGCGCAGCTTCCCCTAACCCCTCTCCCCTGGGGCACACGCGCACGGCTGCCATGGCGCATCCTGGCCTCCATACGGGGACTGCAGAAGGCAAGCCGGATGCCGTCGGGCAGCAAGGCCCTGCCCAGACCTGCGCCATCCCAGCCATGGGGGCCTGTCCCAAGTGTGCCTGTCCAGGGTGGGCCTGAGACTCCTCAGGGAACAGGAGAAGGGACCTCACAAAGCCTGGCAGCAGCAGAGGGGAGGAGCCGTCTGTCGGGGCTGGTCTGGAAGGCCGAGCCCCTCCTTGCAGATGTCACTCCTGCCCCTGGAGAGGCAAGGTGTCCGCACAGGGAGGCAGGTGCATGCACCTGCGCATCCAGGTCTTTGTTTAGTGACTGTTCTGGGGGGACTGGAGCATCACATGCACATCAGTCACTGGGCCCTGATGGCCGTTTAATCTCTTTTCCTCAACAGAAACCCCGAATCACATTTGTCATCACAGACACCTCATCTGTTAATAGAACTGCCTCCACCACCTACCTTTAGAATAAACAAATTAATAAATGTAAAATTGACCATTACTGTGTATTTTGAAAATAAAATTCTTCATGCACAGACCAGTTTCTGTAGATCAAGTTTGCAATAACTGACTTTGATTAATTACAAGTTGCTCAGCTACTCTTTGCAGAAAGAGATGAAATGGCCTTGAGCTCTCCAGAACCAACAGCCCACAGCCCAGCCTGACTGTACAGCCAGCATGTGCAGCCCTGATCTCTATGAGCCTCAGCTTCTCACGAGCACAGCCAGAGGCTTCTCTGGCCACGTGCCATGCCTTGATGTGAAGGTCACTCACAGCCTGCACACAAATGCACTCACAGGAAATGCGTATCATTGTATGATTTTGGTCCATGTGTGACTGCAGTGCTGGAGGGTCCTGGGAATTAAAGCAAGCACTTAATCTCTAAGTCCTGAATGGCAATTCCCTCTAGAACCCGTGGGCTCCTATCACACTCACAGGGTGACTCATAGAAACTTGTTTTATCTAAATCACAACCTCTCAGAAGCTCCACATCTCCATTCACAGTCAAGGTAGACACGTGTCCCTGAGGAGCAAACATCAGCGGCCTCGCAGCATAGACTCCTGGCACTCCACATCTGCTCCTGAGGCTGATGACGGCTCAGGCTTCGTTCCTGTGCCACCCCACTGCCCTGGTCTCCCCTGTAGATGCCTGAGTCATGCTTGGCACTGTCCTGCTGCGTTCTGTCTTCCTGTCACCTTGGGGTCATGGTCTGCACCACCACCGCAGGGCCAAGTGCAGCAGCCCTGAGGAGTCTGCTGCTGGCCCGGGGCAGGAGGGAGCTCCTTGCCACCAAGGAGCAGGAAGAGCACCTGAGGTGCTGCAGCAGGAGAGGTATCTCTCCTGAGCACCGTCGGGCACGCTGCACCCAGTCTGTGCTTCTCCCGCAGAAGGTGCCCTGACAATGGCACGGGCCCGCCTCTGTTGACAGGGATGTGGGCACAGCTCTACATAGGATGACTGTGCTGGGCTCAGTGAGTGGGGGTGAGGACAGGAGGTGCTGGCCTTATGCTAATGAATCAGACACAACTAGGAGTTTGGTTGTGAGAAGTGACTGCCAGGAGGACCCAGCTCCACTGTCCCTTTGGTTGACAATCTTTCTGGAGCTGCTTGGCCTTGCTGGGTCACGAGCACCTGGAGTGTAGCCCACTGGGACACCAGTGTCCCAGCAGCAGTGGCTGAGCCAAGACCTGGCACACCTGCTCCAGGGGCTGCTCCAGTGGGCTCCAGGATCTCCAGGAGCCAGCTGCCACGGTGGCTCACTCCCAGGGGGAAGCTGTTGTGTGGCTTAGAGAACAAAAGGCTGTGGTGTGTCTTCCAGAAGACCTGCAGCAGTCAAAGACGCACTGGAGGGTCCCCACGGGGGCCACTAGAGTCGACTCTGATGGCTCCTGGGGCCTGGGGTCGCACGAGGGCTGTCTGAAAGGTAGGGAGTTATCACCCCTTCCTGCCAAGAACATCAGCCGAGGGACCTTTGCCTCCCCTCAGACCAGATGGTCTTCTCACCCCAGCTCCCCTGGCAACCCTTCCTGAGCAGCCTGGGGGTTCTGCTAATGATCACAGGTGACTGGCCAGGCACGGTGCGGCCCTGAGTTCGAGCACCAGCACCAGTGTTGTGTGCGTGTGTGGCCACCAGCGGCCCCCTCCTCCTGGTTTTGCCCAGTCACCTGCGTTCCCACGTGCACCCACCAGCATGTTCCAGGTGCCTGCGTGGGGTCCAGGTGTGGTCAGGTGAGCCCGAGCACTGGGGCTGACTTCCTAATTGTGTGACTGTGTGATATCGGACCACGCATCTGTGTGTCACAACCACTGTTTTTCTGTCTGGAAAAACCCCTTTCATTTTGATTTGTAGTCTGGTTTCAAACCAAACATATTCTAGGTGATGGCCTTGGAACAAACTAACCCCACGCAGCCACAGAATGCGATTCCACCAGCTTCCCAATGCATTTCTAAAGCCAGTCACCTGTACTTCTGCAGACAGACTACATAAAATAGGACCCTAAACAAACTAAGGTGGAAAGCTCGAGTTTAGAAAGTGGAGAAGGACCTACATGTGGCTAAGATCCTAGTTAGCTGACACAAGTTTCAGACCCACTCTCTCAGGCCACTGTGCACAAACCCTCACGACTGTGAACACTGGGGTCCACGGCCTTCCCAGCAGGACGGGAAGGGAAAAGCAGTGTTTGATTCCATCTCAACAGCAGGCCCCGACCAAGGCACAAGTCTTTCCCTCATCTAGACAACTGGCGACAACACCCAGCACTCTGTGCCCCAGCAGCATGAGCTGACAGCGCCCCTCCCCAGCTCTCCATGTCAGCACAGAGCTGCGGCTCACTCCCAGGAGAAAGCTGTGTGACTTCACACAGAACTGCCGGTTTACTTCTTGGCATCTCACCAGGGACGCCACTCTAGACTTGGCAGATTAAGCAGTCAGCCGACAGCACAGGTGCCCCGTGCCTAGGTGGGTCTTCACAGAGCCTCTAAACATCAAGAAGAACCTTGGGGGAAACACATTTAAACACATGCAATCTACGTCTGGGCATGTCTGTGCATGTTTGCTTATACATGTAAATGTGATTAAGCCAACAGCTGAGAAATATTCCATAAAACGCAGGCTTCCTGATCTGCCCACCAGGATGCTAGTGGGGACTAGCCACTCTGGCCACCTGGCAACCTGAGGCTTCTCCCTGATGGCTGATGGTGTCTAGGTGCTCGGAAGCTCTGCTGGAGCCCAGGTTCTTGAAGAGCCTCGAGCCCAGGGATAGGCTGAGAAAGAAGAGCTCCCTTCTTTGCAGGAGGCAAACCCTAAGCTGATGGTGACCCTGGGTTCTTGAGAGAGTGCCCAATCTTTCTAGAATGAAAATGACCTTTAGAAAATGTTTTGTTTCAAAGTTACCTGTTTGAGTCTTTTTCTAACAGAAAAGAAAGCTAGACATGAAGTGAGAGCCATCCTGTGTGTTGCAGGACACCTTGGGCCTGCCCACACTGTCTGCCACTCTTCACACCACTGGAGGCCTCAGACCAGAAACATGGTGGTCGAACGTGGCCAAGTTACCCTGATGGTTGAGTCCCCTCCCTTGGGTCCTCTAGGGCCCAGGCTCTTCCAGTAGCACAGTATGGGACAGGAATAGCACTTCTTGATAACCCGTGAAAGAAAATGTGAAATTAAAGACCAGGTATGCTAAATTAGTTTTCTTGCTAAATTTTGCCTGGTTGATCAGATACGCACAGCATAAACATCTCAGCAAACTGCTGTGACAATCCATCTGAATCACCACCTGAACAACCTCAGAGCCTAGGTGCGAATTCACACAGATGGCTCCTTGTCGGGAATCGAGCAAGCCGACTTTTCACAGGAAGCTTCCTGGATATTAACACCAGAACATTCACACTGAGAAGCTGACCCAAACCAGAGCCTGGCCCTTTGCCAGTGTTTTAAAGATTACCATTTTCCTCCTCTTCCTCCTCCTCCTCCTCCTCCTCCTCCTCCTCTTCCTCCTCCTCCTCTTCCTCCTCCTCCACATCCTCTCCGTCTTCGTCATCATCCTCATCGTCCTCCTCTTCCTCAATATCCTCCTCTTCCTCCCGGTCCACCTCCTCGTCCTCCTCGTCCTCGTCTCCTTGCTCGTCATTGTCCTCAGAGAACTCCTCGTCTTCCTCCTCGTCCTCCTCATCCTCGTCGTCATCGTCCTCCTCCTTCTCGTCCATGTCCTCTGTCCCGTCACTTTCGTAGCATTCGTCCACGGAGGAGCTGTCGGCTTTCACCGCAAACGGTTTCCGCTTGGGAGCAGGTTCCTGAGGCTGTTTGTCTTGTGTTTTCCTTTTTTTAGCCAAGGGACAACCATACACACTGATAAAAAATCGAGAGAGAGAGAAAGAGAAGATTTGTGTTACTGTCTCTGAAGATCAGAGCAAAGAGCGCCTGATGGAGGGCGCCAGGTGAGCATGACCGCCATCAGCTGTGTGCCGAGTGCGTGGGCACCGTGCGCACACATGCCCGAGCCTTGGATGAAATGGCACCTCAAGGAGTGCAGCGGGCACCTGTCCAGCTGCCGCTAACGCCCAGTCTGAGCCTCCCAGCTCCTCATGACCCCAGATCCGAATGGCATGGAGGTACTGAGAACTCATGGGATGGTTATGAGACACTTGTCGGGCATGCACGTCATGCAGTTGGCAATGCACATTCACTTCACCAGGCATTGGACCAGACATCGTACCACGTGGGAAGTACAATTAAAACTGCATTATGCACACTTTATTAGCAGATACAAATTTAGGTCAAATATGCAGACATTACACTGGGAGAGCTCTACCTGTGTGTGGGTTTGTGTAGTTTATGGGTGGGAGGAGCCCACTGGGGAGATGGACCGTGGGCCTGTTGGTGCTGCTGAGGAGACTGCATTGTCTGGAGTCACGCAGGACATTATAGGCTGTGCATGGTCTCAGTCTACCCAGCACCCCAGAGAATGCGGTCAGCTGTCACCACTTAGGCTGAAATCTGCCCAACTTGGGGAAGACCCTCACAGAGTGGGCTCTCAATCTTCCCTTGAGAAGGGGGAAACTTTTTCTATTATACCTCAAACCCAGTTTTTCTTTTCTTTCTGGAAATTCAATATGTGCTACAAAAATTTAGGGAGGAGAGGGAGAGGCAAATGTGCCCTTGCTCCAGAATGAGATACGGAGATCCCTCCTGATGGTGCTGCCAAGGATGCCTGCAGGCCTAGCTGGGCCCAGTCCTGGACCTGGGGATGGCCAGATGCTAATGTGGTCTGAGCCATCCATGCCATTCATCTGGGTGACTCCCCTGCGGGGGATCCTATGCAGCACAGGACAAGCAGAGGTCAGAGCACAGACCCTCAATTCGGGACCCTCAGGGCCATCAGGCACTTGGATGTGTCAGTAACCCTATTTAGACACACTCATGGCCGTTCACCAGGGGACCCCAATACCGCCCATAATGACACCCAAACAATAATCGGAGGGAGTGGACCAAGGGCAAGAAGCACTCTGATAAAACACGCGAAGGGACTGTGTCATGGAAGAGGAGCAGGTGGTCAGGGGCCAGCAGGCTCTCCAGGAAGAGGTGGCTCTGGAGATGAGCTCTCCAGGATACGTCAGTGGCACCTGGAGAAGAGAAACCCTTCCACCAAGTCCAAGGAGACAGTTTGCAAAGAAACGAGAGCAAAAGGAAAAGCATATGAGGCTCAGAAAACTGAGACAGACGCTTGCACAGTGTAGAACTGAGAGCAGACAGGGGTGGGCAAGAGAGCAGGGGCAGTGTGGAGCAGGGGGCAGACCCATGGAGGCCCCAAGGCAGAACACGCAGAGCTAGAGTCCTCCCAGGGACCTAGCAATGAGTCACATGTGCGCTTGAGAAGGGGGACAGCCAGCTTGGTGTGAGGCTGGAGAGGGGTGGGGGGCAGCAGCCAGGCTGCCCCGGTGGTGGACAGAGTGGCAGGTGCACCGAGGAGGAGGTCACATTGCCAGAAGTGCTTTCGGATGTGGGAGGGGTGGGGGAGCAGCCGGGACCCTAGGGAGGCTCTACTGCACCTTCAGCCCCAGCGAAGGCCATGGTGGCCAATGAAGGGCGGAGCACAGTGGGCAGGCGTGGACTCAGGAGGCGGGGGCAGCATGTGTTGCGCTTGGAGCATGGTGGATTTGGTCTGCCTTTGTCAGGACCCGTTGGTTGAGCGACTGGCAGAGGTTAAGCTCAGAGCCATCGGCCGAGTGAGGACCACTCAGCTGTCATGCACTGAGAGGTCAGGCCAGGGCTGGATGAGAGAGCACTGCTGAGAACCACCGTGAGGAATGCTGGGGCTGTTGGTCATTGTTCGGGCCTCCAGCTGTGCAGCAGACACAGGGCTCCTCAGGGCGTGGGAAGCCAGCTGTCCCAGTGGCCCACACTGTCAAGACATTTAGAACAACAGAACTGGTGGCAAAAATCCATTACTGTTCCTGGGATACACTTCAGGATCCAGCAGAGAGAACGTCATTGACCTTGTGCCCTGGGGAGGCTGCCCACCTGGGAGAAGTCCCTCCACCTGGATGCCAGGGTTTGACTGTGCTCTGAAGACAGCTGGCTGACTCCCCAGGCTCTGTTGACCTTAAAATAGAGGACGCCTGGGCTCAGCCTTTTCAATTCCTGCATCCCTTAGAAACAAAGAAGCAAAGCAAGTATGGAAACTGCTACAGCCAGGAAAAGCCAAGGGAAGGACGTGGTCTGCAGTGTAGGGAAGGACGTGGTCTGCAGTGTAGGGAAGGACGTGGTCTGCAGTGTAGGGAAGGACGTTGGTCTGCAGTGTAGGGAAGGACGTGGTCTGCAGTGTAGGGAAGGATGTGGTCTGCAGTGTAGGGAAGGAGATTGGTCTGCAGTGTAGGGAAGGACGTGGTCTGCAGTGTAGGGAAGGACGTGGTCTGCAGTGTAGGGAAGGACGTGGTCTGCAGTGTAGGGAAGGACATGGTCTGCAGTGTAGGGAAGGACGTTGGTCTGCAGTGTAGGGAAGGAGATTGGTCTGCAGTGTAGGGAAGGACGTGGTCTGCAGTGTAGGGAAGGATGTTGGTCTGTAGTGCAGGGAAGGACGTGGTCTGCAGCGTATTTCAAATATGGATTTTGGGGGAGGGGATTACCAGGTGCTGGACCACTGAGCTGCCTCCACAGCCCTTTTTATTGTTTTAGAGGCAGACCCTTGGCTGGTTTTATGTGTGATCCTGCAGCCTCAGCCTCCAGAGTTGCTGGCATCCACAACTGTGGCCGCTACGCTTGGCTCGAATATGGAATCTGTGAAAGATCCTGAGATTTTCTGGGGCAGCTTTCTCATGTTTAGTTCACATCTGACCCTGAGTCAGTTTGAGATCCATGGTGACCCGTCTCTCTGGTGGACCTGCTTAGGTGCGCCCTGAAGGTGCCCAGCAGTGTCAGTGGGAGCCCAGGAGGCCTGCTGCTCCTCAGGTCCCCTAGGCTCAGGGTCGTGGTGGCCACTGTCTAGCCATCCTTCTGCTCATAGCTCTCCTGTGAGTGTCAGATGCCTGCTGGTCTGTGCAGAGCTCTGCATCGTGGGCTCTCAACCAGCGGTCACGAGGCCCACTGTCAGCCCAGTCCCGGGATCCTGAGGGATGACGGCAGACAGGGCCATGTGTCTTCTGGGACGCTGCTTCCCTCAGGTTGGCAGTGGGGGCTTCTTCAGGGGCAGGAGGGCCCCTCTCCCTCTCCCTCCTCGCGCATGCCCAGAATCCACCCTTTCAGGACGGCACTGGTGCAGACTTGGAGACGGCCATGCTGCAGAGCGCAGAGCAGGAAGGAATGGTCCTCTTACTTGCGGCTGCAGTAGAATGACTGGGATTTTGGAGATGGTGGGTCTGGCTGTGAGGACATTTGGGAGCATGGGCTCCAACTGCAGAGCACCACAGAGGTGGGTGTCTGGGTCCTGAGGTTATAGAGGCACTCTGTCCCCAGAGAGGGTTCCTGCCACCTGCTCCTCCTTGTGGGGCAGCAGGCACAACCCCTGCCTTGGCTGTGCCCCATGGCACTGTCCCGCCCAAGGCTTCCAGTCCATCAGTGTGCTTTGGAGAAGCCGAGAACGGGGAGGAAAGAGAAGAGAGGAGGCAGCAGCATAAGTTGTTGGCCAAGACAGAAAACCCAGGTGTGATCATAGAAGCCAGGTGGGCATGGAAGGCACAGGTGTGAGCTCACCTGCCTCCAAAGCCACGGTTCCTACTCTGGGAGTGCCTGGAGTCCAGCAGTCGCTGGGTCTGAGGACATGCAACATGTCACAGGCCATGGGAGGTAGCTGGGTTGTGATGTGGAAGCGCAAGGCTTCCCTCCTTAACACAGGGTACACACCTGGGCTGGACCTGGGCCTCAGCTTGCCATGTGCTAGGAGGATACTAAAATCTTAAATCGCTTCCTTCCTGCCTGTGTTCCACCTGAGCAGATGTCTTTCCAGCCTGCCTGTGTTCCACCTGAGCAGATGTCTTTCCTTGACTATACTTTTGCAAATCATTTGGATTCACTTTCCAGCCACCGGCATTTGCTGGCTACAAACGCCCAGTATTTTCCTGCCACTTCACCTGGTTGGTTGCTTAGGCCTTTCACTAGGTCCATTAGCCTGAAATGCAAACAAAATTGCTTGTAGTTGCATACAACATCCCTTTGTCCTCTCTGTTTGCCATTCTCACTGACTGTCAGTTCCTGGTGTCTGGTTTCAGTGTGACAACAAATTCAAACCCAAGACACATTTCGTCCTACCACAGGGCAGTGGGCCCTGGGGGGAAGGAGCCTGTGACCAGGGCGCTGCTCAGATCCGCAGAGGCTCTTGGTTCTGAGAACACAACCTGACGCAGGCTGGGGAGGCCTTGGGAGGCAGCTCTGGGGCGTGGCTTGGGGTGTGCCTTCTGCGGAGTCCACCTTCTGTGAGCCTGGAAGGAGGGAGGGTGGGCCTTGCCCTCGTCCTCTGCACCAGGAGGGGATGTGCGCAGCCTGCCCGACTCTGCAGTCACACCCAGCTCCAGCTGGGCTCCTGTCTGTTCACACGTGCAAAGCCACAGTGCTGGAATGTCCCAGACTGGGAGAAGCAGGTGGAGTCGGCCGGAGCTGGAGGCCCTCGGGTGAGGAGCTCGGCCTTCACCCTCCTCTTCCCTGTGCAGAGGTTCCAAACTCAACTTCCTCCTTGGGATTCAAGTCACTGTCGCATTCTGAGTTCTGCTTCTCCAAGGTGTGGCGAAGCTCCCACCAGCTGTGGTTCCATACTGGCCAGGCACTCTGCAGGGTTTCCCGATGGAACAAACCAGGTTTCTCTGTGGATTAGGAAGGAGTGCCTTTGCTGTTCTGGGGCGGGCCTGGGGCCTCACACT